GCGCGCGCAACACCAACTCTTGAGCAACCACTCCACTGGCACCCCTGTATGTCGGCTCGCTTTGCTTGTCTTTGGTCACTTTCCATTATGAGCCAGAAACTTGAGCCAGAAACTTGAGCCAGACTGCGCATGGTGAAGTTGCCCGCCTGAAAGCCCTTACTGACTTAGTTGCAAGTTTGAAGGGCGCGCTTTGCGCAACTGTCAAAGCAGCTGCCAAGTTACCCCAAGCGCCTGGAGAAGTTATACCGCCATATGGCGGCGGGGTGCACCGACAGAGCTTGCCAAGCACACCTAGGCGCAAACACGCTGCCCTGGTGGGAACCTTGAACCCAGGGCGCACTGGATTGCAAACCCTAGCAACTCATGAAATCATGTGGTGGCGACTTCACCACATCATGGAACACCTCCTTGCGAATGATACAGTGGTGTGTTTTCTTCCAGGGGCTCGCTGGCCACCAGGCGTGGCTGTGCCTGAAGGATCGCCTTTCCAGTACATCGGCTGCAAGTCATGCGAGTGGGGTACCGTGGGGGCTCTCGTCAGGAACGACATTGCACCTGCAGTGCAATGGTTGAGTGATGTCAGCCAAAGCGACAGAAGTATGTGGCTTTCCTTGGAAGCGCTTGTCAGGGGCGAGAAACGCTTGGTCCTGTTGGGGGGGTTTTACGCCGCACCTGGGGGTGATGTGAAAACCTGGCGCCTCCTCATGGACGAAATGAGCATATTGAGGCGGCGTTTTCCTTCTTCCTTGCTTTTCATCTTAGGCGACGGCGACGCCCATCTAACCAGTGTTGCGCAACACGAGTCAGATTGCTGCTGCTTGCACTGTCACCAAGGCCCAGCTGATAGGCAGATCGAGGCTTTGGTAGCGGTGTCCGGGCTTGTTGCCCTGAACCAACCGAAGCCCACTCACGTTTCTGGGACCACGATTGACTTGGCTTTAGGGTTTCCTGGCTCGCCATCTGCAATCACGCACGATGGCGATGACATTGGGGGATCTGACCACAAACTTGTCACCTTGGATTTGCAGGGCTCAGTAGAATCCCACAGCAGCGGGGGAGGCGTGGTTTGTGCAATGGGCACATCCACAAGTCTGGAACGCAGCACTGACTGGCTTGGACCCGCTACTAGTGGAACTTGCCACTTGTACCAGGCTTGCCCGTGAGGAGATTGAACAGGCCCCTCGCATGCCCGGAAAACGGAAGCGTGTCCTTCTTGAAGCTTGCGCGTGGGCTAGGGAGGCAGTGTACGTTGCTGTGGGCCACTCCTGCTCGGCAATCAAAGTTCGCCAGCCCTCCAAAAAGCGCCTGTCTGGTGGGGAGCCGCGAAGCGTGGACCAATGCAAGGAACAGATGGTTTCAAACTTGAGGAGCCTTCAGGCTGCAAACCTGCACAAACTTGCTTCTTTGACCGGTCACCCTGCTGAGGCGCGGAGGTTCCTGTCCGGTTTTTTCAAGCGGACTAAGGACTTCAACATAGCGCTAGTGGACACTGACTCGCAATCGCCCTTGCTGCCTGACCAGTCAGCAGAGGTCATTACAAGGACTTGAGCACGCGTACGCAGAACTTGGCGCGCCCAGAGAAGGCGTGGACGGATTACCAAGGCCACCTCCTCAAACAACGGCTGATACAGCCTAGCAGAAGCGGAGACATGCCTGAAGAAAATCAGCTCCTTCAAGAAGGCTGCGCTCTTGCCCTTGGCTGCACTCAAGGCCGACAATCCTACAGGGCGTCTAGTCTCGCTTGAGCCCTGCAACTTGAGCCGCGCTTGCCGGATGTCGCCTGGCTTGTGGAGCTTACGGCATGTAGCGCCACTACGTAAGGCGGGCCCGCAGACTGTCACACAGCTCAAGAACCTTCGTCCTGTCAGCAGGGCAAATGACCTGACTTCCTTGCAGGACTCGCTCTGGCTCGGAAGGTGCCAACATTTCCTTGACCGTTTCACCGGGGATTTTCAACTTGGTGGTAAGTATGACTGCGTGGCCATAGTCGTTGCCCTTGTCTTGCAAGCGCAGCTGCGTCAATACCAAGACCTTTTGACTTATTTCCTCTTCGCCGACCTCTAGCACGCTGTTGACGCTGCGGATTGGAACTTGATGCTTGTGAACTGCTATGTTGCAGGTATTGTTGGCACAGAATGGATGCTGCTTGATGACTTTTTTCGGCAAGACCATGCTGTAGTGGTAGTCGGCGGTTTCCTCTCGCAAGTTTTAAGGTTTTCTGCGGGCATCCCGCAGGGACGACGTTTCAGCATGCATGCTTTCATGTCCTCAATGAATGTCTTGCGTGAAATCATGGACGCAGTCGCGCTCACTTCCAAAACGATCTTGCCTACTTTTGCGCGAGAGGCCATGGAAGGTAGTTGGGCCCGCCTCACACCTCTGCCAACACCGAACCGCTTGCAGCTGCTTGTTGGGCCTCAACAGGTTGCGCAGGTTGTGCGGGGTTTGCTGCAGCAGGGTGACGCGGCAAATGCCCGGCGCATGGCTGTGCACTGCTTGAACAACATGCCCTGTTTCCATGAGCGCGTCCTTTGCATGGAGCTCCTGGGAGATGCGTGTCTCGGGCCCTTGTTCTTTGTGGACGACGTTGCCGCACCATATCCAGATGGTAATTCTGTTGAGGCGGTGCTGCACCACGGCCTGGCCAGATTTACTGATGTGGCTAAAGCGACCTTCAACTTCGGCCCACAGAAAACCGCAACAATGGCCTGTTTTGATGCCCCGCCCGTGTCGCACCACACTGACACCTACAAGCTGTTGGGAATCGAGGTCGATAACCAGCTTACTTTTGCCAAGCGGTTGGACATCACTTGCGCGGTGGGCAAGGCTGCTTTTGAGGAGTTGTTCCACCTGGCTGAAAGCTTGGGGCTCTCGATTCCTGTCGAAGCTGTGGAGGTCCCGCGCCGCCTGGAGCCCATTGTCTTGTTCGGAGCAGAGGTCCTGCCGCTTGCTGAAAATGCTGAGGCTCGCCTCAACTCGCTTCAAGCGCATTGGGCCAGAGCCATACTTGGCACGCGCTTGCGCGGCAGACTGGCAGTGGCTGAATGTGGCTGGCGGCTGCGGCTTGGCACCTTGATGATGATTAAGGCTGTCACCTTCTTGAACAAATTGTTCCTGCTCCCATCCTCCCATCCTTGTCGGCAGTTGGTGACTACCGCCCTTTCTCTGCCTTGTGACACTTGGGCGCACCGCGTGCTGGCGTTGACTAGGGACCCAAGGCTTGACACACCCATCCCAACCGTGGACGCGTGCGGGCTAGTGTCGACTGAAGAACTTGGCAAAGCAGCTGCTGATGCTGCCACACGGAAGAAGGTCCTAAAGCGGTTTAAGCAGCAGATCGTGCTGCCTGCCTTTGCCAAGTTGGACGCCCAAGCACTGGCGGACGCCTCCGACTCCGCTTTGCCAGGCCTGTACCTGAGATACTACCAGCTGCCCAGCAGCCACGGCGACTTCACCCATAAACTCTTGCTTGCTAATGTTGGCTGGAGGCGCACGCGGATCTGGTGGCTTGTGAGGTTGTCAGGAATGTGGCCGGCGGGCACGTTTGCCGTCAGCCCCTTTCTGCTTACCTTGCCTTTGTGCAATGATTGCGGATTGGCTGATATCCCAGTGGCACATGTCCTCGGGCGCCAGAAGTGTCAGGGAGCCTCGCTGGAGCGGCTGTTAGACCTTTTTGACCAAAGGAAGGAGCCCGAGCCCTTGGCACTTGCCATCCAATTTGTTGGGAGCCGCATCGGTGGCCAGCTTGCGGCGCACTTTGGGATGAACGCGCAGCCCCGACCTGCAGGGGTTCTCCCTCTGAGGTACCGCGCTCGCGCCGGCTCTTTCCCTCATATTGTGCTTGTCACAGCTGAGGGGTGGTGCTCGGACATTACATACATTACATACATTACATTATGCTTTCGGGCCACCCGTAGTTCTAGTTTTTGGGGGTGGTCTCCTGAAAAGAGACACACTCATATCAAAGACCTAAACATGCAACCAAAACCCTGATCAACTCTTACTTGCCAAAAGGGTCTGGACATTGTAGGTTGATCTCGTGGGACCATGATTGAATGTGGGGAACGCGGTATAGGGTCAGCTTTGCGCCACTTGACAATCCACTGAGCACAAAAAGAGGATATGTGCCTAAACCAGGCATCCTCCTGCCCCCCCAAAAAATAAATACATTTCATGGTGTTCCTGTTTTTTGTTTTGTTTTTTCTCTTACAACCATCCCCCAGAGAATAAACCCTCACGCCCTGGCCGGCTAGGGCCCCCTGCTAAACATGAGGATGGCCGGGCGGGCCGGGCCCCCGCAGTTGGGGCACACCTCCCGACGGTGGTTATATGAACCCCCATGCTTTTAATGGGGGTTTCAGCTCAAGGGTTAAAACTTGGGGGAAACCCCCTCCAAGAAGAGTTGACCAAGACACCGGAGGTCTGAGTACCCGAAGAACGCCTGGATGAGCCGCAGGCTTTGGGCTGGTTTTGAGGCTTCATGGCGCATTTGAATACCCCTCTCTCTCAAATAAATCCCTTTTTGGACTCCCCTCTGGTGTAGGGCCGCAAGGAGCCGCAAGGATTAGAATGGGGTTGTGGGATGCTTGAAACCATGGGAGAACCCGGTGTGAGCTTCTCAAAGTTTTGAAATGGTGCTTCGACCTGCTGGTGCTTCTACTTAAAGGGAAACAAAAAGGAAACCAACCAGTTTGGGACCTCAATTTGAGAAGGCAACTATTTAGCTCCGTCTATTACTCATTTGAGGTCTGTCGGAACCACCCCCCTCCCCCGCCAAAAAACAACACCATAAATGAAGAAATCTAACCAAATCAGGTAAAGGCAGAAAGGTTGGGATCCATCAATTTGCATCCGCGGGGATTAAAATACCTCCGGTCTCAACAAACCAGCTCTGCACCATCAAGTCTGGTGCTGGGTCTACCCATATAAGGAATGATTAAATGGCGGAGATCCGCACCTCCTAGTTCGACCCAAATCTGTGCAAATCCCAAACCTTGTTGCTAGGACTCGCCCTCCCGCCCCAACCCCCGTCCAGGATCCCCCTCCCCGGGTCTAAACCGCCGCGCCGGGTGGTTGCTGGCGAAGCCCTTGCTGGCCGCCGCGGCGGGCGAGGCCACCTCCGCGGTCTTGGGGCGCATGTGCCGCAGCGTGAAGCGCCGGGCCTTGAGACCCCAAAAGGTGGGCTGGGGGTGGAGGCGGGGGGGGGGGGGAGGCGTCTTTTGGAGTTGGTACCCCATGTTTGCGGCGGTAATTAAAAGGAAACCAAAAGGAATTGTGTTTTTGGTTCTTTTTTTGGGGGTTCTCAGAAAAAAGACGCAGCCAAATTGGTTTCTCCAGAGTAGAGCCCCGAAATCTTGGCCCACAGGCAAAGACGCATTTTTCGATTAGTCTACCCTAACACATAACATGTTTTTGAGCAGACCCCAGACAGGGTCCAGGGCTGGAAGCTGGCGTAAGGGCTCTAAAAGGCGAGGGTCTGCTCTGCAAGTTGGTTGCAAGCAAGGTTAACCACGTAGAACCAGGAACATGTATCCAACTGGATGCCTACCCTAAATATTGCAAGTGAGCAAAAGCAAACCCGAGAAATCCCTGGCGTTTTTTTGCGGGTCCCTCCTCTTGTCTCCTCGCCTTCCGGTCCCTCCCCTGAGCCCAGGCGCCGATCCTTTGACTCGGCCGATCCGGGGCACTGCCGACACCGGCTCGGGCTCCTCTCCTGACGATTTTTGTTTGGCAATGGGAGTGACTTTTAAAGCCGGACCCTGTGGTGGACAACAAGTTTGGCGGCGGCTCACGTCCGCCAACCATTTTGGAGAAAGGCTCCCGACTTGGATTGATAGCCACTGAAGTATTTGTCTTCAAAAGTGTCTTGGAATGAGTGCCCAGATCCTGGTTAACGACAAACAGTTCGCTGAGATCGTCGATCCATCTGACCGAAAGAGGGGAGGTGGGTCTTTTGGCTGCTCCTTTTTGTGGGATCCCCGGAAAGGAGGCGCATTGGGCAAGGCCTGCAATCCTGTGAAAAGAATCCTTTACAGAAGATCAGCAGTAAGGAAACCAGGGACAAAATGATGATGTTTATAATTGATCAGGACACCGTAGTAAGAATCCAGATAATTGTCATGTGTAAGTAAACCATTGTCACAATACTGATGATTGGCATGTTGCACGCAACAATTGTAAAAAGTTGATAACTAGGATTTATAAGGAAACCATGGTGATACAATGATGATAATTCTCGTTTATAAAAGAGAAGGTTAACCAATGATGATAGTTATCATTTACAAGGAAATCAGTGTAAAACTGATGAGATCACCTCGTTTATAAGGAAATCGTAGTTAAACAAGCAAGATAATCACAAACTTCTAAATCATTCAAGCAACAGCAACTACAATGTATAAGCAAACCCCATGGGGGCATTACCATGTATAAGGAAACCCTTGGTGAAAAGGATGACCATTAAATGATGGCACAAATGATGACACTTGTCATTTATTCGGAAACCATGGTTACAATGATGGCAATTACCATGTATACGGAAACCATGGTAACAAATGATGATAGTTACAATGTATTCATGGTACACATGGTGACAACTTGTGATGTATAAGGCAACCATGGTAACACCAATGATCATTGTCCCTTATAGGAACATCATGACATGGTTAACACATGATGAACATTGCCATCCGGAAGGAAACCATGGTAACAACGATGATAGTTGTAACTTCTAAGGACGCCATGGTACCAATGATGACAGTGTCCATTTACAAGGGAAGGAAGTGTGGTAAAAACATGTAAACACATGATGGTAGACACAAGTCATAAGGAAACCATCGGAAACAAATGATGACAAGTATCGTGCAAGAGGAAGCCACGGTAACGATATAAACAAATTATCACTTACAAGGAACCCATGGCAACAATGCTGATGATGTTAATTTCCCATAGCTAAACAACGATGCTAGTTGTCATACGGAAGCAATGATAATGCTACTATGCGAAAACCATAGCAAACATGGTGGCAATTGCAATTTATAAGGAAACCATTGCAAAACAACTGTGGCTAGTTGTAATTTAACAATGGCAACCTGATCAAACACATTCTGTATAAGGAAATCACAGCAACATGGATGATGATCATTATTTACACGGAGACCAGGGTCAAAATACAACAACAAAAGCTATTAGTTATAGGAAAACCATGGTAAGTAAGTATGATAAGTATCATTTAAGTATCATTTAAATGGAAGAACATGTGCAGGGACCACGCCATGTCAGCAATATCATGTCATATCATGTTTACCAACCAGTCTGAAGGGCGGCTCTGAAAAAAATAGCAACGCTTCTAAAGGAAAGCCTACCATTCTTTTCAAGCCCATTGGAACTGCAACTTTCGGCATCATTGGACCCGTTGGAGGGCTCTCTGGTTTCAATTTAACCTCCCCCCAGAAAAGGGTACCCAGCCTCAAAAAGGCAAGCCAACCCCCTTTAAAGAGGGGACCCCAGCTTTGGTGGACATCTTCAAAGGGAATTATCGCAGTTCCAAGTCACCTGCCCAAAGGACCCAGGAAAAGATTAGCCTGCCGGGCCCCTTGGCCAATGAACCAAAGTGGGCAAAGCCAAAAGGTCAGGTCCGGTCAATTGGCTTTGGACACGTGAGCCCACAACAGCCAAACACCGCCTGAACTTTTTGCCACTATGGTACACCCAAAAAAGTGACCCCAAAAAAAAAACATCTCAATGGGAAGTGTGAATTCGCTTACAAGGCCATGGGTCAAAATCCCGTACCCCCAGTGAACATCCCAATCCCCACTGAAATAGACAAAAGTGGGTGGCGCACCTACCCCAAAATGGTACCATTGGTTTTGACCAGCCACAAGTGCGCCACCCACCAAAAGGCGCTCGGACCTCGCCTGCCCAGTGGTTGGTTACCACCTCCCGCTCCGCTGGCGCCACCTCGACGGAACGGATCAAGCGAGCTGCTTTTTGCTGCAACGAAAGGGGAACCGTCGGCCGTCGTGCTTCCAAGAAAGAAAACGGGACCTCCCAAAAACCGTTCGGTTCAGAACATCCCCCCCCCCCGTTGGGTGTCTTTTTTGGAACCCCTAAGACTTGGTTGTATTTTCGTGGAATTCCCTGTAAACAACCTGAAAAAAGTACCCTGAACCCAAAACAAGGAAGCAAAGACTGGCACTTTGGAAAGGTTACTTTCTGGAGAATAGCGCCAAACTGGTCAGGCAAAGCGCCATGATTTAGCTAATACACCGGTCAGTGTAGTGGCATGATGTACAATGGCTTAATGTGTCCTCTCATGTATGTCCTGACATGCCATGCATTCTGCTACATAGTTTCATGACACCGGTGACTAGTGCCAGTGCATGCCATACAATTACACCGTGCCGCATGCCATTGAGCAGTGTTTCATGTGCAATACTCTATATTCCTTGTTCCGAGTCCCACGCCATTGCCTACCATCCATGCGACATAGCTACAAAATGGTCCATGCCTGAGGCACAATGTTCCACGCTATGCCACATCAAACAGTTTCCCGGTACACACGTGTTAATAAGACGCGGCTGCATGTTTCTTGCAATGACTACCAAGCGCCTTGAACGGCTAAGCTGCATGGCAAGGAAAACTGGGAAGCCAAGCTTCGGTTGGTAACTCAACACAAGCTTCCCTCTAGTTGGTGGTTTGGATTGGTTAGTTGGTGGTTGGGGGGATGTCCCATTTAAGCGCCACAAGAACGAGGGGTTAAACCCCAAAATCACCAATTTATACAGTATACAGCCAACCAACTATAGTGTCCAAGTAATGCTACCTCTTCTTACGTGATCGGAAACTTGGCCACTTCCCCCTTGAGCCCTTGAGACACGCCAAACAAAAACACCGCTTCGACCATGGGTCAACTTCTGGCTCCTTCCCTTAAGCCCACCAAAAGTGAGCAGGGCCAAGGAAGCAACAAACCACATGACCCCCAACCAGACACGTCTTTTTGTCGGGCACCTTTTCAGGGAAACACCGAAGGGAGGTACTCAGCGAAGCTTTCCGAGCCTTTGGGGCCAGCATGCTATCCTTGTCCACGTGAAAGCTGAACCTACGGGCGAGATCAACACCGGCTCAAGCCTGGGTTCTTCCTGGGGTGCAGAGGCTCTGGCTGTAGACATGTCACGCAAAAGGCGTGCAGATTCCGAGTAACTGAAACAGACAGCTAACCTATGAGAGGCAACAGAATGCAAGGGTTCCTGACAAAGGCGGGAACAACAATACAGCCCATGTTCGCTTCCAGGAACGCGTAGGTGACTGTGCCTGCCAACTGATCGCCATGCAAGTCGCTAGTAAGCTAGATTAGAAGCCACGTATCCTTCAAAACAATACTCTCTGAGCAAATTCTCTGGGCAATCTCTCTGAGCGATCTCCTTGGCACAATCTCTTTCACAATCTCTCAGAGCGATCCCTCTGAGCAATTCCTATAAGCAATCTCTCGGAGCAATCCTAATCAGCAATCTCTCTGACGGAGCAATCTCTATGCTATCTCGCAGGCGGCTGCCGAACCCACCGGCCGGGGAAAGAGCCCAACGTCCCAACTGAACACTTGCAGTTCTCAATATGACCGTCGAGAGGCTGCGCACCATCTTGGATCCGAGCAACCCTTTGAGTGGTTTCCCGTACCATGTGAAAGTAGATGCCACGCTTCGGTTTAACCATCCAGGTACCTCCACACAGGGAATCGTACCATACGTAGCCTTCACGCACTGGGCCGCGCACTCCGCGGGTGCACGCCAAATCCCCGGGCAGCGGTCTCTTTCGTCGTCGAACCTGCGCCTGCGGTCTGGAAAATGGCCCTTCCTGTGAAACCACTCGCCATCCTTATGACATTCTCAAGGTTGGCTTGGTATCACAGAGAGTGGCACTTTCTGCTCCTGCTTCCTACAACCAAATTTGAGTTGGAATGACCTTCTGAACTGTTGACCCCGGAGTACTCAACAACTGCGGATTCATCAGGGGGGTGTTTCCCGAAGCCCTTCTGGTTGCCCTTTTACAGCCACAAAACGGAGGGGGACTGACCAACAAGAAAGACAAGGCTACATTCTGGTCTGAAAACCAGCCTGAAACTTACATTCCCATTGGCGAGGAGAATTCCAAAGCCTGCTTCCGCGTGCTTTTGCAATGCCACACAGAAGGGGAGAGGCTTTCCCGCATCACCGAGATGATATCTAGGTACAACCACCTACTAGGCCATCATACAAATGAGCAGCATGTCGCAAATGAAATCATGGACCCCTGGTGGGGGCTGAGGGAAATCATGGACCCCTGGTGGGGGCTGAGGGAAATCATGGACCCCTGGTGGGGGCTGAGGATAAGCCCAAACATAAGCCCTTAAACAGGCCTTATTAAGGAGTTCATACGAGGAGGTTCAAAGGCGCCCACAACCAAAGCGCTCGGCGGACAGCCACAGATCTACGCCCTGCCAAACAAAATCACACGGAGCCCCGAAGCTATGATAAAGAGGACTTGACTAGAACGGATGTATCAAAACCTCATTTTTCAAATCTGGATGAAGGCCAATGCGCGAAAAAATTGGGGGGACACCTTTTTGAGCTTTCAACAGGAGCCCCCAATTGTTTTCCTAAAAAAAGAGACCCTCGTTAAGTAAGCAGCCGTTCTTCCTTAGCTTTGTGTGGCACGAATTCGGTCCCTTCACAACAAATCGGTCATGAGACAAACCGTGTCCCGTGAGCGAGTACGTGTTCAGGGTCCCCCCGCTCTCCGAGTCTTACATCATGAATTGGTTCCCCGGCTTTTGCACCCTTCCGTTTTACTGCCTGGAACCTCGACCGCCCCGAACCCACTGGCAATAATCTACAGACCTTTCCGGATGGCCCCCAACCGACCGGGTCACGCGGCTCGGTCACGCGGCTCGGCCGGGCGGAAGAAAAGAACGCGAGCGCCTGGATCCCGCGCACTGGTACAACTCCACGTTCCCGTGGCACTCTCGAACCTCGCAGGCCTTGAACCTCGGGCACGGCGACACAGGAAGAAAAAGAAAAGCGCGCCTGGGCGAAAGGATCTGTGCCGCTTTTTCCTGGGAATCCCATGTGATTACACCAACCCAAAACCGGGTGACACGCAAAAGAGAGACACATCCAGGTATGCCTGATTTGGGGATAGTTTAAAGTGAAACCAAAAGGAAAGCCACCGTTGTGGGTTCCAATCGACCTCTAAACATCACCTGAGCCACAGAACCTGGTGCCACGCGGGTTGTAAACAAAAGCATGCAAGGAGTCAAAAAGTGGCGCACGCACCTACTTATGGTTGGGACCATCCCCACTAACCTGAACTTCCCCAGACTTTGATTGAGGCTCACCTCACCAAAGCATATGCTCTAAAACAATTGCTCAAAAGGTGTCCAAACCAGAAAGAGAAGCCAGTTGGAGTTGAGGCAAATTCGGCTTGTGTAGTGGAGTTTGCCTTCGTAGTCCGACAGCAGGTGTCTCGGAAGCGGAAGGCAGGTTCAAGACTTCAAGCCTTCTGAGATTCACACAATATATACCAACCATGGACACCCAAAGCCCATCTTTTTGTGGGCTCAATATGATTCGCCCTGGAAATATGGGTTTGTCTGCCCACACGAAATGGTATTCATGTGAGCTCCCTGACTATTGTGTGATTCCCGCATCCCGTTCATGGGAAGACATGTGGTTGTCGGTTGACCAAGAGGAGACTTAGCTAAAAGTGGCATCTCCAATTGAAACAGGCTGAAAAGGGTAATATGCGGAACGATTGTTCATACTAAACAACCTGAGGGCTTGTCCCATGGAGAAACCGGCCGGTCAGTGGCATTCATTTTGAGCGGCCAGTCGAAGTGGTGCGCATCCACATTGGAGGTGAACACGAAGAACGCCCCCGCGTGGCCCTCTACAAGGTATGGACCTGTCAATGTCGACGGACAGAGTCAAGGGTTGGAGGGTGATATGCCGCCTGCCTTAAGGGATTTTATGGGTCAACCCGGCTTCCCCCGGGTGGGGATGGGCTAAATCGGATCATTCCACTACTTAGTATCTACTTAGCTTGTTCCAGCTTTTAAGGAAGGGAGTTCTGGCGGATTCATACGGGGTAAGAAAGTGATTTGGATCTCCTCTAAATGAACCCCCCCCTCTCAAACTCAACCAGCGGTTTATGAATGCTGGCCTGGCGGAATGACGGAACCATCTCTGTTTGGTGTATTGTCATTCTTGGTCAGTCCCGAACCCTCCAAGCAGATTACGAGCAATATGCTCCCAAGATCATGACTTAACTTGGTGCCTGAAAACCAACCGAGAGAAGGAATCGGCCAAAAAGGGGCCCAGCAGAAACTCGGTGGCTGGCAGGTCCCGCTAGATTCGAGGTGTCCAAAAAATGGGTGTGTTCTAAACGTGGAACCCAGGCAAGAGGAGTGGTTCCGCAGTTGCTGGAAGCACCCTCTGTTTGTTTAACGGGGTAGTTGAATGTTCAAATCACTTAAGTGGGTTGTATAAGTCATAATTATTTGGTTACGGACAACCACCACCTAAAAAACTTAAACCTGGAAATTGACTTGGTGTCAACATAGGGAGACGTCCAAGATGGATTTGGCTGCTGCTTCTGCTTTTCCTGTAAGACCCACCCCAAAAAAAGAACTGGTACCCGTCACCTCAAACAAACACACTGACTTGGATCCAGGGGATTCCCATGCGAGCATTGGGGTTGAAGCGTGCTGAGGTAGAAGATCAGCTCCCGGTCAAGTGAAACCAAAAGAATCAGAAGAAAGTAAAAGAGACCAAAATAAACTAAACCAAAACACAGTTGTCAGATTTTTCCCCACACCTGACTAGATCGTCCCAATTGGGACCTTTCGCAGCAACCCAATTCAGGGAACATGCCGGAATCCCATTTTGTTCAATACCAAGTTCATGTTTGGCAGTGACTGGTAGCCAGTCATCACCAACCCCCAAACCTCCCCATCGTTGCGGGTCCATGCCGTTTACAGCTTGCTACTACGCTTCCTACGATCACGTCGTGGCTCACATAAAATCTGGAAAAAACCACCTCCAATCGAGGGGATTGGCCAAACAAGTAACCCCCGCAAGTAAAAGTTCAGAAACTCGGGAAGTGAGACAATGGCACACCCCCCGGTTGCTGTAGTCATCCACTTTGCTTACCCATGGAGAGTGCCATCTACCAACTCACTCTGGTCCCCTGAATCATGGAGGAGTTGGAAGTGGGGGAGATGCATCACCTCTTGGGAGGTCCTGTTTCGGTTCCAGAGCTGAATACAAAGACCATTCATGAAGGCTTTACTATAACCCCGGTTAAACCAGGTGGAACCACCTACTAAACCCCCGGGTAGGATTCACTTTGGTCGCTGCTCATGTTGATTTGCAGCGCACTATCCTTAGACATGGAGCCCTGCTCTGCCAGCTGAGCGGATAGGGTTTGATTCACAAAGGTTGACTCAGCAAGCCTCGTGCTTCCTAGTACCATCAAGCCAACGGGCAAAATCATCATGTGCAACCCCCCTTGACACACTACCAAACCTGCCCACCATAGCCCTTGCTGGAATGGGGGTGTTGACCAGACTGTGACTCATGCCTTATCTAACAAACCAACCTGCCATGGGAAATCACCATACCCTGGGATGACACCTGGGCAACTTTGCCAGTTTGGACTACTTTGGGCATCTCCAAACGGTGTTGCCGTAGTGTGTAGTAGCGCTATACAAACAACCCTTGGAAGCAGCAGATCAACCTGAAAATTCTAAAGTAGCATCAAATCATCACGAAACTGTTTCGGGTTTTGATCATGTTGATCTGTAACCAGATACAGATCAAGCAAAGGACTTTCATGGTGAGCTCGCTTAGCTCACTTTGCCCGGTGAGCTCGCCACAGAACAGCCAGGGCTTCCCAGCTGAAAGCTGGGGGTCTCTTCCCAAAGCCGCAGGGTAGAGCAGCTCCAAGCAAGGGTTCTTGAAGGGATCCAAATCCTGGGGATGGGGTTTCCACCTTGGTTTATGGGTGTGTCTTTGTTTGAGGGTACCCCTTTTTTGGGA